ATGGACCAAAATCTCTGAGGAATGCTTCCAGCACCTTGTTGAATCTATGCCACAAAGAATTGAGGCAGTTCTGAAGGCAAAAGTGGGTCCAACCCGTTACTAGCGTGGTGTACCTAATAAAGTGGCCGGTGAGAGTATATCTGGACTCTGATCAATGGATTCTACAGATTGACTTGGTGGTCTCCTGGTGTTCTACAAAACAATGTCAGTGACTTTTCAGGTCCTGGCTGACTGACCAATTTGATGGATGGCCATATTTTATCAGCACTCTGACATTGGCCTTGAGTGAACTGGACTCAGTTTGCAAGCAGATCTATTGAGGGTAGTGGGCTGGCTGTGGTCCCTGGACTTTGCTGGCCAGATGGAATTGATCTTGGAGAAGCTGATGGAGCGGCTCGGCGGAATTTGTCCACATTATTTGTCTGATTGGATTCACCACCTTGAGATGCACCAGCAGACATTAAAGCAGATGGAAAATTGTTATCGTCTGCCTGACTCTTTTGTTCCCAAAACAACTGATTACAGAATCTGGATCTCCCCGACAACGACCTTGAGTTGTTGACTAAATTCTTCCTGGCTGGATATGTCGACAAGGCTCAACCCCCACACCTCCCCCTCTCCTCTCTTGCCTGTTTGATTATGGTTTCCTGAGCAGGCTGGGGGCTCACAGAATGAACAGGTCCATCAATATTCTGAACTTTGGCTGCGCTGGTTTAGAGGACTGGATTCTTCGGGCCCCCCTAAACTCAATTACTCCTCTGGCTAATAAATCTGCCTTATGCAGAGGTTTTTTCATAAACACTATAGTGTGTCACAGTGTTGATATAAWATMATGTTTTTGTTTTTTTRCTCATCTTCCCTTGTGTGGTTTTTCTGTTTTTTTCTTCTTCTMTTTTTCTGTTTAAGWTGGCGCCACGGCAGGCAGCCTGTTACTGCAGCTCCCCTGTCTTGAGTTGCTGTAGTGTGCAAATTTCCCCACTGTGGGATCAATAAAGTTTTATCTTATCTTATCTTATCTTATCTTATCTTATCTTATCTTATCTTATCTTATCTTATCTTATCTTATCTTATCTTATTTCTATGTTCCCTGTGGTCTGCAGGCTGTGGCAGCCATCTTGAATATAAGTAACTCCAAATGTTATTTAGTTGTAAACATACATCTGAAAGTTGAACTAAAGTGCATCTACTGATGTACGAGATAGTCTACAGACATTTTCTTTACAGATCCACTTCACTCTAAATTTGTCTGAATTATACTTGACCCAACCTGAGAAAACTTGTTCCCACCTACAAAACGCAGCAGCTGAAAGGCAGTGAGCCAGGTCTCTGGGATGGCAGCAGCCTGGGAGAAGGTAAGATTTGATGGAATTGGCATTAGAAGCTCTTCAGGCACAGACACATATTCAGCATATCCTCCTCCACTGAGCAGGGCCATGACCCGGTCCTCTGGTTTCCAGTCGCCTCTCAGTTCCGGTCCCAGAGTGTCTACAGTACCAGCCACCTCCAGACCCATGATGTCACTTTCACCTGGAGGAGGAGGGTACAAACCTCTTCTCTATGGGAAAACCATAAAACAGATTATTAATAAAGGCCTAGCATTCCTGAAAGAAAACTGCATGTCACCTGACACCTTTCACACCAGAGGTTTAGACTGAGAGCATGGTGAGAAATCACAGAGGTGTCGCCACCATTAGGACAGAGGTGGAAATAAGATTATGCACAATTTCAAGTGATCTCCCAAGATGTCTGCGACTTAGCATTCCTGCTCTTCACACTGTTTCAACAGACTTTAGTTTAGACCACAGTTCCTACAGACAGATTAGTTCACACATGGAGTCATGTCACCCTCAAACTCTCCTGTCAGTTAGTTTGCATCTGGTTGCTAAAGTGGTGCACACTTAGGGCTTCCATTCAGGAAAAACACATTTTAAACACTTTTCCACTTGTCACAGTTGTTGTTTAATTGCATGTTTTCATTTTATTCCACGATCATGTGATTTGGGGTATTTCTCATTGATATATATTACTGGATTGGGCGTGGCGAGCGCGTTATTAGCTACATGGACGTGCACACACTGGAGCTCTGTTCTGCATTGAGGAGCCTCAACAACATGAATGGAGGTCAATGAGGTGTCTTCCTGATGAAAAACTTTGATAACTTCCTTATTTCTTGATCGATTTTTGCAAACTATTGTTCAAAATAAAGCTGAGGACATTGTGAATTTTATAGTTATGGAAATTTAAAATAGATAACTAATTTAAATGACTAAAACGGTGGCTTAAAC